GGCAAGACTGGAACTGGCTACCTTAGGCTTACAGTGTCACAGTCTACCCATCCACCTGAGTTTCCCACCTTCTCTCTCTGTTCCAAATACTACCCCTATGCATCTGGGGGTTGAGGGAGGATATCTACAAAACAGTTTATGAAAACAGCCCACCACAAAGTATTTCAAGTTCTATTATATTGTAGGCCCACCACCCACCAACAAAAGGTTGTCCTCCAGATGAATTTGTCTAGCCACATCAACTCATGAAGATGATTTACTAAGTTCTCAAGGAGATACGATATGAACTGGGCCAAGTGAAATCATGGATCCTTTCAAAGACTATAGTAAAACCCTTTTAAAGATTATAGTAAATGAGCCAGGACCTGTATGTAATATGTACTATGTATATACATTACAATTGGATGATTCTTCAACTACTCAAGATTAGCTAGTTGACTGTCACCTACATAAATTTCTACCTTATATCATCTCCTACAGTCAGTGTCTAAATATAAAGTAAAGCTTATTAACGCCTTCTTGAGGTTTTTCCAAAGTAATATAAATCAAGGAGTCAGAGGTAAAGGGAAGTCTTTTCAATATTTGACTTTTAATCAGTATACAAATAAGCCTTGACTTACTTGGTGCAAACAAGAAATATGAAATCCTAAAAGGGATAAAGATCTGATCTGAAAGAAATTCCAATGACCTACTTACCACGACTACACTTGAAATTGGACCTAATTCAAAACTGGACCACATAGAAGTGTTTCAACAACAAATCTGTTTTATCCTGTCTTCTCCTTTTTCACATCACAACTTTAATTGGCATGTTTCCTAAAAATAAAGGAGCTTATGCCCTCAGAAATCGCACATGTGTTGGCAGGAAGTAACAACCTGGAGAACACGAAAATGATCTCTCCCTTTCCTCTAAGCTTCCATGATATCTGGTGTCTTTTCACACCTCCTGATGTCCTACATTACAAGAAAGGCATGTTCATATCTTATCTCTCCTACTAGACTATAATCTCTATGAGTGCTAAAAACCATACCTTATTCTTCCTTGCCTTGAACATAGAAAATGTTTAGCTGGCTTGGAAAAAACAAAAAAAGGTACTTGATCCAAAACAGTGAGAAGCCTATGACACTCTCTATACGGAACGTAACAAAGAAAAGCTTTTATATTTAATCACCCATATAATATACATGTATTCAGAATCCATAAACCAATACTAAAGTAAGAATGACCTCCATTAGGATTCCTGTACAACTATTATTACCCATGATATCACCTTGAGCAAGTTACTGGGAATCAACATTCCTAGTACTACTCCCAAGGGCAGACCACTATTAACCTAGAATAGCTGTGAAAATTGACCATTCATTCCTTATCCCATAAGCAGGTTTTAGTCCATGACAGGATGTCACAGCACCTCTTACCCCATGGCTACCAAATATCCTTAAAAGCATCTCATAAAGGACTTTTATCAAAATGCTCCTTGAAAGTATGAATAAATTAGACTGTAGAAATAAGACATGAAGGGCTCACTTAGATCATTTAACCTGTTCCCCTTCCAGGCACTTTATGCATATGTGCGAGTGTTACAGCCCACCTAATTTGGCATAACAAAGGAAGAGGACCTCCATTCTTTCAAAGAAAGATGACCATGGGCTTAACATGTAGTCGCAGAACATTTGACTCCAAATGCAGTTTTGAGTTCATGCGTGGCCTGTAACCATGAACAATTCTTAGTTGTGGATAACTGTCCTTTCGTGTATTAAACATATATTATGTTTAATGTTCTGTATTCAGTGCTAAAGGCACAAAAGTGCAATGGATATGAAGACAGCCATGATACAAGAAGGAAGCAAAAGAGGTGAGGACAGCAGGTGATATAGAGCGGTTCTTAAATATACATAAAGTATATTCACATTGGAAATTCACATTGGATAACATAGATTTGCTAGTAATGAAGGAGGCAAAGTATGCTATTGGGTTGGAGGTGGGAAGGAAGTAAATAATGAGACTGAGGAAAGAAGAAAACATTTACAAGAGTTGTTACAGGGAGGCTAATATAGTATCTATGACACAAAAGTATTGCCATCAAATAATGAAGGCCTTGTTGAGATCAGATAAATTTGTAATGGGCCTAGTCAACTCCACTGAATGATTTCCTCCAGGTTAATTCAGCAACACAGATGGCAGAGTGGAAAAAGGACTGAGCCTGGAGTAAGAAAGATCTGAGCTCAAATCTGGCCTTAGATACTAGCTATGTGAGTCTGGGCATGTCACTTAACCTCTGTCTGCTTCAATTTTCTCAGCTGTAAAATAGGGATATTAATAGCACATATTTCCCAGGGTTTTGGGAGATCAAATGAGATAATGTTTGTAAAATACCTAGCACAGTGCCTGGCACATCAAAGGCATTTAATAAATGCTTGTTTCCTTCTTCCCTTCCTTCCTTCTCCCCTTTTACATGTGTAGAAGAGAAGGCAGCCGTGGGAGTAAGCCAGGGCTATGGTTTGGAAAGGCATAAATGGAAAGAGGGACAAAAAGGCAAGAGTTTTAAGGGTAGATGACAATGAATAGTTGAAGTGGCCAATGACAGGCTGAAGGCTATAAGGGGATGAAAGAGAGGCCACAGCAAGGATAATGAACTAGGAAACCAAAGGTAAAAAATTGAAAGTTATGGTGAGAAAGAAGGATAGATTTTGGAAGAGTAAGGTAGATGGAAAATGGAAGGAGACACAGTTATGTTTAAAGAAGGGACCAGGATCACTGAAGGAGTACAGCTATGGATGGTGCTAAGACCTAAGGCAGAGGTTCTTGACCTTTTTGTGTCATGGTTCCCCTAGATAATCTGATGAAACCTAGAGACCTCTTCTTAGAATAATGTTTTTAAATGCTTAAAATAAAACAGAATGACAAAGAAAATAAATTATACTGAAATATAGTTATCAAAATATTTTTTAAAACAAGTTTATAGATCCCAGGTTAAGAATCTCTGATATAAGGTATGATTATACCTGTGGGTAGCTAATGGAGAATGAAAATAATGGATATTGGAAGTTAAGAATGTAGATAAACCAGGACACCAAAGTGCTTAAAGGGGTCTCCTAAGTACATAGTGGATCCCCCAGACTTGAAGGCAGAGGCTGGGTGTGACAAGAAAAATTAAGCCAAGAGCTAAACAACTTCAGGGGGAGAGGCCAATAGATGACCAAAACAAGGATCTGGACTGGATAATTGGGCAAATTTCAAAAGAGGAGAAGTTGCTGAGTGAAAATATCTAGTAGAAAAGAATTAAATAGATAGTAAAGGTCAAACAGATGGCCTAAGAGATTCAAGGAGAAACCCACTTACAGTGAAGGTCTTCCAGAGGTCCAGGGAAGGCTTCATGGAAGAGGAACTAAAGTAGGACTTGGGGAAAAAAGGTCCAATGTCAATAGGCTGAGATGCAAAAAAGAGTCATTTCAGGGATGTAGGATGATATGTTCAAAGGCAAGAAGCTAAGAAAGGCTATGAAGGAGTAATCCAGTTTGGTCAGAGCTTAGAGTATATGAATAACAATATGATGAAATAAAGCTGGAAAAACACACTGGAGGCAGAATATAGAGTTCTTTAAAAGTGAGGATAAGAAATTTATATTTCATATGCAGGCAATGGGGAGCCACTGGAACACTTTGAATAGAGTATTGCAATTATTAAACCTGTGCATTAGAAATATTACTTTAGCCAGGGATGGCAGTTAGGGGGTGGCTATTATCCTTGCAGGGAGGAATTTCAGTAGAGTGATGGGACTGGAAATCTGAAAGCAAGAGTTATAGAATGAGTAGATAGTAAGAAAATAAGAGCAGTAAGCATACACTACTCTGACTAGAAGTGACAGAAAGAGGATAAAAAGTAAAAAGGAGTGATAAGGGGGTGTCAGGATCAAGTAAGGTTTGGGCTTTGTTTCAAGGGACCACTTAAGAAAAATATAAGCATCTTTGTAGGTACAGGGAAATAGTCAATAGAGATGGGAAGATTAAGATGTAAGAAAGAAAAGGAGAAAAAAAAGAAAGAAATGAGAGGCAAAATGGCAAGGGATTGGATAAAAGTCACAGATGTAGGAGGCTGTGGTACAGTGAAAACGGTACAGAGCATGAATCAGAAGACCTGGGTTCAAATCCTGGCTCCAGAAATTGGCAGATGCACAAATGTGGACAAAACATGTCAACTCTCTGATTCTCAGTTTTCTTGTGTAAAAATCCCACTTATATGTACTTCATAGCATTATCGTAAGGACAGCCCTACAGACCTAAGAATGACTATAAGGAGGTAGAGTGTCCCATAAGAATTACAGACCCTAAGAAAAGGGTCTAACTAGAAACCACACTCAGTATTTTCTTTTTTTTCCATGTTATTCTTACGGCTAGACCAATCACCACCTTCCAATCCCGCCTTTCTTTCATTTAATTTCTAAAAAGGAAGTAGAAGGACCCAGTGGAGTCTCCAGGCTATAAAGACCAAGGCTGCCTTTTGCAATAATGGCAGCAATCCCTCTCCATTCTTATCAACTTTAAGGCAAACAGTCTGATGATCTACTATTAACCCCGTCAAAGAATTCCAGGAAAGACAAGGTAGCCCAATTCAAGGGTATTTCTCTATTCTCCCATGTTCATTTGAGTCTTTAAAATGAAACACATTAAATACCTTTTGTTGAAACCAAGAATCTTTCTGCCTCCCATCTCAACATAATTTTAGTACTGGTTTTGCACCATCATATGCCTTGGTGCCAAGCCCAGTTTTCCAAAGACAGAGGATATATAAATAGTAATCACCTTCAATTTAAAAAGCTTAAACTTGTAGCAAAGCTTACTCCATATCACTTGCCAAGAACTACTAACTGCCCAAGGGAAAGTCTGCAATAGGATGCATGCATTACCAGATTTCAAGAGACTAAAAAGGGGTCTGAAGTGCTAGGAGTGCTTCTAGGCCCTGAAAGACCAGTCCATTAGCAGAAGGTATTACATCTTACCAACATGTCCGTGGCATTGAGATAGTGCTTGCTGACCATGCACTGCTCCAGTTTTTGGGGCACTTGCTTGATATTCTCAATTTCATCTAGCAGATTTAGGACATGCTTGTGCTCAATTCCTTCAATCCACAGCTTCCGGAGCTCATCCCGTTTGCAATGCAACAACATCTTGCAGGAAAGCAGATTTTCCTTTACCTAGAAAAGAGCAATTTCAACCTTGATTCAGTTCAAATTCTCTGCATTTTAAGCACACTGGCCAGTTACCATTGTTTCTTGGTGCTAATTGTACTTAACACTTGCTAACTCCCCCTCTTCCTTAATCCCTTGGGTTAGTATGTTTTCTGAGTTCTAATCCTGGCTCTGACACTGACTCACTTCGATGAGTCTTCGCCTCTCTCTGTCTGTGTTTTCTCTGCTGTGAAATGAGAATACTACCCCTGACCTACCCCTGAGTGAATCCATAAGACATAACTCATGATATAAAGCATTTTGAAAATATTAAGTGCTATGTACATGTTAAATACGTTTCATGGGGAAATGACTGAAATGAAAACTTGAAGGAACTCTAAGGGGTCATATGTCTCCAAGGGCAGCCTTATTTAAATCAACACAGGCAAATGGATACACATCCTAACTGACTCAAAGGGGAAAATGTAACTAGCAATTTTCCTTATTGACAATAAGCCAGAAAAAAAAAAGTTACCAGGAAACATCCTCAGATTAGACAACTTTTTTCAATGTCTTTCAATTTTAGATTCAAGAGCCACTTTTGAAATCAAGTGTATTCACATTTAATTAATCTTCCAATATGCAAAGAGAGTCTACAGAGAATAGTGAGGAAGGCTCTACTAGGTATCTTTAGATTACCACTGACTTTCAACATTTTCCTAACTAGCAACAATATTAGGAAGACATAAAAATCCTAAGAATGGAAAAATTGTTGAGAGATCACTAATCTACCCTGTGCCTAAACCAGAACCTATCCTATTTTAAAAGAGATCCAGAGATAGAAAAAAAAATTCCAAAATCTACCTCTATATATCCACTTAAAAGCTAACAAGGCAATGTGTTAAAATGAAAAAGAATCCTGGACTTGTCATTAGCAAAACCAAGTCTGCTGTTTCCTAACTACAAACTTGGCTAAATCATTTCACATCTCTGGACTTCAATAGCCTTATAAATAAAATGATGGGGTTAGATAGGCAATCTCTAAAGTGCCTTCTTGTCCTAAATCTTTGTTAAGCTCTGCCAAAACGGCCATCTCAAATGGTATTTACCCATTACAGTTCTGATGCTATAAAAATTATAGTTTCAATAAAGGCAAAAAAAAAAAACCCAAACAAACAAAAAACCAAACCTCAACTGCTTTCAAAGCAGCTGAATTTTCATATAAACCAATAAGACTTTATTTACAAAAATACAGAACTCCTTTGGTAAAAAATCCACATTATTTGGACTGACTAAAAATCATATCATTTTGCTAGAAAATAAATTTCTTAATTGAACAAAATTTCCAATGAATTTTTATATGATTTGAAAAAGGAATCAGTTCCATTTGGCACAGTACTAGTTGGTTAATCCTAATCCAAATCCATTTGTCTGTATTACCATAAAGAGTTTAGATTTTAGGAAGCGGAGCCAAGATGGTGGAGTAAAGGCAGGGACTTGCCTGAGCTCTCCCCTAAACCTCTCCAAATACCTTTACAAAAAAATGACTCTAAATAAATTCTAGAGCAGCAGAACCTGTAAAAAGACAAAGTGAAACAAATTTCCAGCCCAAGACAACTTGGAAAGTGGACAGGACAGATCTGTTACACCAGGGTGAGAAAGGAACACAGGCCATTGTAGGCTGCACCAGCATAGACTGATCCCCAGCAAACCCAGAGCAGGCCTCGGGGCTTTGCCCATACTCAGATCCAGGTTGCAGTCCTGGGTGGCAGTCCCAGGGTGAAGAGGAACAGTAGCATAGCAGAGCCTGCAGCAGCAGTAGGAAAAGGAACCCTCCTTACAATGCCAGGGCAGAAAAGAGTGCTTGTGGTCACTCACAGACCAGAGCACAGGGCAGAGGAGTAAACATCTCTCCTCATATCATACCACCTCCGAAGAACTGAAAACTTACAGATCCCTAGAACTATCTCTGAAAACAGCTACACAAAACCACTGAAGCTTGGGACAGTGCACCCTCCATCCAGGAAGCAGAGCCCAACTTTAACAAAGAGTGAAAAGTCAAGTAATTGGCTGGGAACATGAACAAAGGAAAAAAACTCAGATTATAGAATCTTACTTTGGTGACAAAAAAGATCAAAACACACAACCAGAAGACAAGAAAGTCAAAGTTCCTACATCCAAAGCCTCCACGAAAAATATGAATTAGTCTCAGGCCATGGAAGAGCTCAAAAAGGATTTTGAAAATCAAGTAAGAAAAGTAGAAGAAAACTGGGAAGAGAAATGAGAGTGAAACAAGAAAATAATGAAAAACAACTCAACAGTTAGGTAAAGAAGACACAAAAAAGCACTGACAAAAATAACACCTAAGGGGCAGCTAGGTGTTGTAGTGGATAGAACACCAGCCCTGGAGTCAGGAGGACCCGAGTTCAAATCCAGCCTCAGACACATGATACTTACTAGCTTTCTGACCCTAGGCAAGTCACTTAACCCCAATTGCCTCACCCCCCCCAAAAAAAGAAAAGAACACCTTAAAAAACAAACTAGGCCAAATGGTAAAAAGAGGTTCAAAAAACCAATGAAGAAAAAAATACTTTAAAAAGTAATTGGCCAAAATGGAAAAGGAGGTCCAAAAGCTCAATGAAGAAAATAATTCCTCAAAAATTAGAATGAAACAAATGGAAGCTAATGACTTTATGATAAATCAAGAAACAATAAAACAATGAGAGAAAGAATGAAAAAATAGAAGACAATATGAAATATCTCATTGGAAAAACAACTGACCTGGAAAATAGATCCAGCAGAGATAATAATTTCAAAATTATTGGGCTACCTGAAAGTCATGATCAAAAAAAAGAGCCTAGACATCATCTTTCAAGAAATCATCCAGGAAAACTCCCCTAAAATTCTAGAACCAGAGAGTAAAATAGAAATTGAAAGAATCCGCCGATCACCTCCTGAAAGAGATCCCCAAATGAAAATTCCCAGGAATATTATAGCCAAATTCCAGAGTTCCCAGGTCAAGGTGAAAATATTGTAAGCAGCCAGAAAGAAACACTACTAGGTATCAAGGAGCCACAGGCAGGATACCAAAAGATTTAGCAGCTTCTACATTAAAGGATCAAAGGGCTTGGAATATGATACCCCAGAGGGCAAGGGAGCTAGGACTACAACCAAAAATCACCTACCCAGCAAAACTGAGCATAATCCTTCAGGGGGGAAAATCTCAATTCTGTGAGATAGAGGACTTTCAAGCATTCTTGATGAAAAGACCAGAGCTGAAGAGAAAATCTGACTTTCAAATACAAAATGCAAGAGAAGCATAAAAAGGTAAACAGGAAAGGGAAATCATAAGGGACTTAATAAGTTTAAACTGTTTATATTCCTATATGGGAAGAAAATATTTATAACTCATAAGAACCTTTCTCATTATTAAGGTGGTTAGAAGAAGTATATATATATAGACAAAGGGCACAGGTATGAGTTGAATATGAAGGGATGATATCTAAAAAATAAAATTAAGGAATGAGAGAAGAATGTACTGGAAGGGAGGAAGGGAGAAGTAGAACAAGGTAAATTATCTCACATAAAAGAAACAAGAAAAAGTTTTTACAGTGGAGGGGAAGGGGGGGGAGGTAAGGGGGAGAGAGTGAATCTTACTCTCATCAGAATTGGCTAAAAGAAGGAATAACATACACACTCAATTGGGATAGAAATCTATCTTACTTACCCTACAGGGATGGGGGCCCGGGGGGTGATAGAAGAGAGGGCAGATTAGGGGAGGGGATAGACAGAAGCAAAACACTTTTGAGGAGAGACAGGGTAAAAGGAGAGAGAGAATAGAATAATAGGATGGAGGGAAATCTAGTAAGCAACAGTAACAGTGAAAAAAATTTTGAAGCAAGTTTCTCTGATAAAGGCCTCATTTCTCAAGCATACAGACAGCTGAGTCAAATTTATAAAAATAAGAGCCATTCCAATTGATAAATGATCAAAAGATATGATCAGTTTTCAGATGAAATAATCCAAGCTATCTATAGCCATATGAAAAAATACTCTCACTACTGACAGGAGAAATGCAAATTAAAACAATTCTGAGGTACTACCTCATACCTATTAGATTGGCTAATAGAACAGAAAAGGTAAATGACAAATGTTGGAGGAGAAATGGAAAAAATGAGACTTTAATGCACTGTTGTTGGAGCTGTGAACTGATTCAACCATTCTGTAGAACAATTTAGAACTATGCACAAAGAAAATAAAACCATGCATACCCTTTGAGCTAGCAATACCACTACCAGGTATATATCCCAAAAGAGATAAAAAACAAAAAGGAAAAGGACCTATGTATACAAAAATATTTATAGCAACTCTTTTCTGGGGGTAAAGAATTAGAAGTTGAGGGGATGCCCATCAATTGGGGAATGGCTGAACAAGCTGTGGAATTATTATGATGGAATACTATTGTACTGAAAGAAATGATGAGCAGGATGCTCTCAGAAAAACTTGGAAAGATTTTCATGGGCTGATGCAAAGTGAAATGTACTGTGGACAAAGTAACAGCAATATTGTAAGATGATCAGCTGTGAATGACTTAGCTATTCTCAGCAATACAATGATCCAAGACAACTCTGAAGGACTTATGGTGAAAAATGCTACCTATCTCCAGAAAAATAATTGATAGTGTCTGAATACAGATTGAAGCATACATTTTTATTTATTTTTCTTGATTTTTTTCTTGTCTATATTTTCTTTCACAACATGGCTATTATGCATTTTGCATGGCTACACATGTATAACCTATATCAAATCTGCTTTCCTTCTCAACGGGAAGGTGGAGGCGGGTAGGAAGGAAGGGAGAAATTTCAGAACTCAAAGCTTTAGAAAGGAATGTTAAAAGTTGTTTTTACATGTAACTGGGAAAAAACAAAATACCAATTTTTTTTAAAAAGTTTAGATTTTACCAAATATACAAAGTTCCATGAGACTATATGTAAACATTGTTATAACTCAGTATCTGGATGCTGCCACCTCACTCAAAGTATAAATACTATAGTGTCATGTTCTACATGAAAGAAAAGAAAGGATTTGCCATTTCCTAATTATACTCTGTTGGCTAAGAGCAAAAAGAAAACTTCAGTTCATGGCCCAATGCATTTTCAATGTTCTGCCGTCTTTGCCCCTGAAGAAACCACATAATCCATTGGGCAATTGGCCAGAAAGAAATCATTCACATTCATACCTTTAACAACTATGGTGTAAATGTATATAAATCAATGACTCTCTTGAAACCAAAAAGCAACAGGAAAAGTTTAGTAAAGAAATGTCAGTGTTTCCTTAGTGCACTGATATTGGACTTTCATGGTAGGAAATTGTCAAATTCTCCAACTTAAAACAAGTCCACTCACCTTTCGTTGGTTTTTCTATCATTTTTTTCCCACATACTTGCCAATTAGTAAAGGCATCTATCCTTTTTTAAAGGGCTATGGCCCTTTAGTTTTCTTCCTATGTGATCTGAGAGTTGTCATAATTTGTAATTTCTTATATGACAATTATTTTCCTGATAACTGCCTGGTATGGGCTATGTTTATATTTTTTTTTTGCCAAACTCAGATGAGTTGGTAGAAAATGGTTTGGTTACTGATAGAAGCCTCTGAAATAATCAAAAAAGGGATTAGAAAAATCAGCTCAGAATGATGTCTTTTCAAGTTTATTCCAATGTGAACATTCTTTCTTAGCAGCAAAGATAATATCAACACAAAGTGAAGTCAAGTCAAGAATCATTGCTGGTTCTTCCCTTGAGATAACAACAAAGTCCTTTTAGTACACACCAACCAAAACTAATCAGAAAACACAAATATCAAAAGATCCTTCACCCAAGCTGTGATTACTCTAAGTAAAGCCAAAAGGTCAGTGGCTCTATACATTCATTTGCTGACCCTTCTGGAGCTTAGTATATATTAGGTCAAAATGGACTACAGTTTATTTGAAATCTAGGGCAATTGATCTCAAGCTTCCCCTAGTTTCAAACATAAATCCATAGGATGAACTCTTGACTTGTAAAGGATAAGAGCTGCAGCCTTCCATTTGGAAATACTCAAGCTTATTTTACAAGGCGGCAAGGTCAGCATTCTGCCTCAAATAGGGTTATGGCTTACCGCTTCCACAGTGATGCTCTGAAAGGTGGAAAATCACAATCTCCACAGCTCACCTCAAACAAAACAACAATTTATGTATCTGCCTCCAAAATCTTAACAGTGTAAGCTCTAAAGCCAGAAAAGACAGAAAGCAGAATGGCTGTGGCTATGAAAGTAAAGATACTTCAGAGGTAAGCTCACAACCAAAAAACTTTTATACTATTAGTTACTATCTAGAGAAGTTAAAACCATGGCTTTTCATTTGGATGAAAAACAATACACACAGGACAAATTCTTCAAACATAGCAGGCATTATCTGTTGATATTAATTTGCTGGTAATAATTTGTTGATATTAAATTCAACTAATGTTAAGCACTTGCTAAGTGTAGAGCACTGCGCCTGCTTTGGGAGAGAGAGAAAAGTTAGCTAAGGCATGGTCTGTACCCTCCTTGATCTTGCAATCTAGTAAAATGGTAAGACATATAAACAAAACTCTAATCGAAGAGGAACCCTGTAGTGCCTATTTCATCAGCTTGCTTTGGCCCCATCAAAAAAAAAAAAACTTCCTCTTGAGGCAGTATCCCATTTTGAGCTAGCATTCTAGTCAGAAACACCTGGGCTTAAGTCCCAGCTCTGACACATAAGTTACATGACCACGAACAAGTCACATAATCTCTCCATTCCAGATGCCAAGTCTCCAAAAGTCTAAGTTATAGAGGGGTTAGCTGTGATGGTGAAGGAGTTTCCACAGTGGGAAGCTCCCTCCTGATGAAATCACAGGCCCAGACACACCAAAACCAAAAGCCTAACATCTACTCCTTGGGGCTTTATGATGGTAAAAGTCTTTTGCAAACATTATCATTTGGAGCCTCTCAACAATCATGTGAGGTCCATACTACATTTACTACAGATAGGATTATGACCATTTTATAGATGAGGACACTGAGGAGCTTCTGTGATTCACCTAGGGTGACGCAACTAATAAGTCAATGTCAGGGGGTGTTTCCTCCTAATCCGAGTCCATATTTGCCCCATCATGCTGTTCATCTCACATGGGTAGAGAAAAACGGAGAGTAGAGTGGAAACAAGATAGAAAATGCTCAATGGGGTTTCCTTCAGCAAAGCTTGACTTGCATGAGGGTTGGAAACAACCTGACACAACCAGCTAGTAAGCAGCAGCTCAAAAGCCACAGCCCCTATAACACACAGCCTCATCTCCAGAAAGAAGCTCCATGTGAACAGAAGTCAGACATTCACCTGCTTGATTTTATTGCGAGAGTTAGTGATGCGCTCCGTGATGCTCTGATAGGTGCGGATGGCCGTCGTGAGCTCGGTGTAGTGCTGTACGATCAGCTCATCCAGATCACGGTCACACTTTTCATAGGCTTCTTCCAGACGGCCCTTTTCATTTTCTCTGTCCTCCACATCATCACTCGTAGATAGAGTCCTGATAGAGACAGAATATGCATGATAAGAAAAAAAAGGAAAAGAATAGTCTATAAAAACATTGTAAGTCTAATTTTAATAAATAGACCAAAATTAGTTAAACCAAAAGAAACACTACTTTCTGAGAAAGAATGATGTTTTGACCTAGTTCACGACATTGAGTCACAAGAGTCACACTGGCCAGTGTCACTAAAGCAGTAGGCCTTCTTATAGGTGTATCTTATACAAATCAAGCTTAACTTAAGATACACTAGGGTCTCAGTCATCTGGGGCCTCAGGCATGAGCTCAATCTCCAAGCCATGAGAAGAAGACGAAGGGGATCACCAATGGCCCATTAAGAGAGCACTCTCAGGACTTAGTACATCCAGGTTTTACCAAGCACTTTTCACTCCTCCTAATTAAATATAAAGATAACCAGATTCCATCCCCCACACCTAGAAAACTCTGTAATGCAGCTGACAAGTTCCATTTTATTTTGTTTTTCCTAGGGGTAAGAAGAAGGAGACAATGGAGGATGGAAAGGATCTTGTTCACACACCTCTTTGGTTTTGTTCCTGTTGTCAGAAAGACAGATGCTAGAGATTGGCCAGTGAGGGTCTCACTCTACCACAGAGCCTGGAAGATTACAATATGGAGACTTCCAGCAATGGGAGAATCCAGAAGAAAGGCAGGATAGGAGTGCTAGGCGGGGGGAGGGGATGTGCCTACAGCAGAGGGGGCATGATGCACATTAAGTCTTATGGAGTTCTGCGGATCTTTATGAGGACAAAACCAAAAGAAAAGCGTTTTTGCAAACTACCGACCTTTTCAGGGAAGATTAAAAACAGTACATCTAACTGAACTAGGTATCATACAAACCCTGGACCAGAAGAAAAGATTGCATGAACCAAAACTCTGAACCTTACATGAAGGCCACCACTGTATTTACTATTCTAATAACAGCACTAAGAGACTGATAGACATCAACAATAACCAAGGGATGAGATGGATGCACTTATGAAAAAAATCTCTCAAATAACCTAGTTTGAAACATGAGCCAGGTCTTTGTTTCTTCCATTATCTTACTTGCAGTTTAATTTTTTTTTAATTCAGTTTTATCCTCAGTGACACAGAAAAAGCCCTCTTCCTCTTATCTGTTAGTTGCTGTAATTTACAGTGTTTCATTAAATTCCCTCAGGTTTGTCTGTATGTACCCTCAGCCCAATGGATTTCATTTTCTTTTTTAATTTGGGAGGGGAACTTCAGACTCTCAGTGATGGATGCCATCATTTGCAGGACCATCATCAGAGCTTCTTTAAGAGATGAGACAGTCAGTAAGTCAATTACAAATCCACTTTCAGATATTTCCATGAAAAACACAGAAGTTTCTCCAAATTGACATTTAAAGCAAGAGATCTCAACTCAGGAGCTATTTAGCATTAAAATGTTCCTTCTTAGCATTGATGTGGGGAAAATCTGAGCAGTCTACATATTTACAAAGTAGCAGATAAAGAGCTGGAAAGGAGCTTTGAGGTTATCCAATACAAATTCCCCTCATTTTACAAACAAGGAATCTGAGGCTCAGAGAGGTTATGTGACTTGTCCAAGGTCACAGAGTTAGTAGAATCTTAAGGCTGAGTTAGAGGTCCTACAGACTGGGTACAGAGTGAAAAATCAGTCAGTCAGTCATCAAGCATTATGTACAAATTATAAAATGTCTATGGAGAAAGAATGGCATCTGGAAAGGACTGGAAATAGTTGAAGATGGAAGAACACTTGGAAAATTCAGCTATAAAGTTAGGATACAAAGATTTCTTTCAAGACTGAAATCCATAATAATAACCAAGCATATCTATCTGCTGCATCTGTGATGCATACATAGCTCGGCTCTTTAAATCTGAAGGCTTCCAAGTTGCTAGTCCAAAGAAAAACAAGATACTAAAACTCTTGATTTGTCAAATGTCCCAAAGAGAATGGCTTTTTGGTTATTTACTTGCCATTCTTTGCTGTCACTGTGGGGTAATAATAAAAAAAAAGTCAACAGTATGCTGACATCAATTCCCTCATCACTGCACAGCTTTACAAGTTTCTCTCTACCTTCTCCTACCTATTATGTGCTTCTCACTGCATACTCTACGCCTCCCACTTATGGGAGGAAAAGTGCAAACATTTCACATTGCTTAGGTTAACTAGTGAAATCGCCATTAAATAAAAGGCCCAGAAAGGATACATTCTTCTCTGTCAACTACCATAGTAACAAATTATAGGTAGGTTATGAGGTATTTAAGAAATAAGAGAGGATTACTGATACACAAGCTAGAGAGTAAATTATGCTTACTTTGGTTTTGGCTTGTGTTTTCACATACAGAGAAAACATCTGTATCAAAACTCCAAGTGAAGACATACTCTTTTGCATATCACTCTCCCTTCCTCGATCCTCTTACTGGGCTAGGTTACTTCTCAAATTTTTCCTACAATCAGTTACGGTAGCAAGAACACAATGTTCTCCCCCAAAAAAAAATATTAAGAAGCCAAGAAAAAGGCCTCATAGATGCAAATGAATCAAAGCAACACTATGTGGACTTCTTAACACGTCATATATAGAGATGGTTAATAGCCATCTAGAAATAGCTGATAGGAACAGCCTGTGAACAGTATGAATTCAGAAACAAGTATTTGGGAAATGTGAAACTGAGATAAGGGTATAAGTATGGTCATTTGAACTAGGAAATTAGAAACAGAGACCTGCTTTTACTATTCTTGAATGAAACAACTGCTTCTTTATGCCTCGGTTTCCTCTTCTGTAAAATGAAGATAGGAATAAAGGCCAAAAACCTGTGCGGAGTAATTAAGTAAAAGTTGAATTCAGCAAACTAATTCAATATAGAAAGTTATGATTTATGCAATTATTAGCTAGAACATGTAGCAAAGCTCAAGGTTATATTAGTATGGCTATAGCAGTTTTTGTGAGTCATGTAACTAAGTCATTTGGCAGAATTCAAAGAATTTTAGCATTAGAAGGGAATATAGGTAACATCTCTATTTCAGCCTCCCATCCAATGCAGAGATTCTTTAAATCATTCATTGAATGACATGTTATCTAGACTCTTTAATGTCTTGATTATCCAACTACCCTCCTAAAACACAGAGCTAAGAATTAAATATAGTGCTCTTGGTGCAGTCCACAGGCGAGATAGGAAATGCTGAAAATCACTCTAAGTGTGCCAATACTGAATTATCTTTTTTCCACACTCAAGCCAAGTATCTGGTTAATTAAAATCCCAGTGTCTTTTTCACATAAACTTCAGCCAATACAGATCTCTCCCATCCTATACTTACACATTTATTTTTTGAAGACATCATATTTATTCCTCTTAAAGCCCAGGTTTAAACTTCACAACAAAACTTGCCTTCCACAACATGTCTTTACTTTCCACTCCTGATGCTGGATCTCACCCTTAATCAAAACAGTTGATGTCAAAGCTGTATCTTAGAGAGAGGCAGTGCTCAACTAGAGGTACTTAATAAAGATAAGAGTAAGTCCAAAGCATAACTGAGATCTCCAAGCAGCTTCTAAAGTTGCAAGAGTCTAAAGTCTAGGGCAAAGGTAGCAGGTGTTTGTAGCTAGATATGAAATACATAGCATGAACCCAGAAATTGATTTGGGCTCTGTCATCCCAGTCTTCTTTGAAGTCACTGACTCTCCCTCTGGATCTTTCCATTTCTACCTCAAAAATCTGATGACTTAACCAAGATTAAGGTCACAGAAGACTAACATATTAAACCAGATGCTAGATGTAATAATGAGACAGACTCGGGCAGTAACCTGAGTGCTTTCAGTAAATTACTACCTTAGAAAAATAAATTAATGAAGTAATAATAAACTGAAAAACATCTCTCCAAAGACATCTAATTGTTACCCAGGGAGGCACTTATTTATCCAACAGGTTCTGGAATGCATTATCCATATTACCAGCATCAGCAATAACTAATACAAAATAAAAACACTGAGGTACAGTGTGCTTCTACTACTAACTCCATAGCTGTCAACTCCAACAGAGTCCTTCAGTCAAGCACATACACCTCTGCAAATAACCACGAAGGCATTAAGTATGAGTTTGTCAGGTTCCTCTTCCTGTGTTTCAGAAAGATAGATCAAGCAACTTGAAAGGAAAATAGCTAGTCCCTACCACTGGCTCCTTCTTGATACAATTTTGTCTTCGCTTTGTTAAAGTAATGGAATCCAGATAAGGCCAAATATATAAGTCAGTACGCCCCTGAAAAGATGAATGGCACAAAAGAGCAAAGAAAAAAACAAACCTTTGGAAATAAGGTCGGTTTCTCCCAAGTGCAACCTGTCACTCGGGAGGAAAAGCACCATCTATGTAGCCAACAAAGAATAATAGCATCTAGACCTTCTATCTCATCTCCAAAAACTCACACAATTGCATCTCTAAAAACACTACCACATGCTAAGACAGAGCCCTTGTTACCACTAAACTCAAATCTAATACGTAAGTATGTTACTGAGGTATGGGAAGAAGGCTGCAGAAATCACCTCCATCCTGAACTCCTCAGAAGCTTATTTATAAAAAGGGGGCAGGAACACTTTTTAAAAATTCTGTACAGTCTAGTGTACGTCTATGGAGGGGAAAGAAAAATGAATTTTGGGTCAGAGGACCTGGGTACAAATCCTGACTCTGCTCCTTACTACCTATAATCTTAGCCAAGTCACTGTCTCATTGGGCCTCAGTTTCCTCAACTGTAACATAAGAGGGATGAAGAGATACTCTCTGAGGTCTCTTCCAGCTGATACCAAGAGTGGCCTGTTAGAAGTGGCCTTCCCAGGGCAGCGAGGTGGCGCAGTGGATAAGTTCTGGCCTTGGAGTCAGGAGGACCTGAGTTCAAATCTGGCCTCAGACACTTGACACTTACTAGCTGTGTGACCCTGGGCAAGTCACTTAACCCTGACTGACTCACCAAAAAGGCAAAAAAAAAAAAAAAAGAAGAAAAAGAAGAAG